GTCTTTTTGTTGTTGTTGTTGTTTTTGTTGTGGGGGGGAGGGGGGGGTCTAACTTTTTTTTTTTTTACATTGCGTGTTTTACGCCTACAGCCAGATGGAGAAATATGAGCAGTTGTTAGCTTTGAATATCTTTCTTTAAATGAAAAAAAAATAATGTTGTGACTAAAATAGAAACAGCATGAATCTTTTTTGCTTTCCCAAAACACCTGACCACAAACAACCATTTGCTCCTCTCCTGTTCCTCCAGGTTGGGGTGTGACAGTGTGAAAAGTGGAAGGAGAGCAAAATGGGTGGTGTGGAGGTCAAGAGAGGTGAATATCTGCACTGAGAGAGGAAGATTTATGCGAAAGCTGCTGCTGTTTGAGAGAGCCATAACATAGCAAATCCTGCCTGTGCTCTTAACCCTTGACAACATGACCTTACGCTCTTTCCAACTGACAGCTCTTTAAAACAGATTTTATGTAAACTGAAATGAACCTCGTAACAGCAGATTGGTTTTAATTAAATACCCCTTAGACTGACAACAGGGTGTATTTCAGAAACACATTTATGTTTCTGACACTCAAAGAACTTTTAGTTTAGTCGTTGGGAACTCTTTAAAATCTTCTTTATGTTTTTATTTTCTGCATCATTCATTTACTCAGAATTAAAGGGATCGTAAATCCTCAGCATAGTCAGCCAACTCATGTGGAATGGATTTAGCGTACTATGCAAATACTGAATGCGTGCAGAGTTAATATTTGGCGTCTCGGCTCCAGACTCGTCATTTTCCCAGAAATACAAAAACAAGCTCATGAGAACAAATGATTAGAAAAAGGTCCAAATCCAGAGACCGAGTCACAATAGTCATGCAAGTCCAAGTAACAAATTCTGGGCTTTTTGCAAGGATCAGTGATACTAACCTTTGGAAAGTAAGAGGAGAGTCACCTCCAACACAAGAAAATGTCGGCTTTCAGTTACAAGTGGCAAACACCCTATATGAAGGGTACAAACAAGCTTATACCAAAAGCTGCCCTGAAGTAACATGATCAACTAGTTCACCGGTCACTGAAAGAATCCAGGCTTGTTGCTGTTTTGGGTTTGCTTGACCCTGAACTCCAAAGCATTCTTGGTTTCTTTTGACACTCATTCCTTACCTCAGTGCATGTACATGGCCACCTGCAGAGTGAAATTAGACAGTCTAGTTTAAAAATAGTACAGACATACTTACATGTCCATTACATTAGCCACCAGCAGCTGTTGTCTACAATGAAGTCTATATAATGATCATACTGGGACTTTAGTATAGGTAATTGCAAAATTCTCAGTCCTTATTTCAAGTAAAATGTATCTTTAACTTTATATTAAGCTAACAAGTGCCACAAACTGTAAATCTTCAAAGGTCTTGGTTATTTTTGTCCAAACTTACAGTAGCCTATTAATGGAAAGAGCCTTACAACGGGTTTATTTTAAAAGGCCAATAAGCTGTAACGTCACTAACGATCGCAAAACAAAAAAGTCTGACTGTATTTCCATAAGTTTTGTTTGCATTAGCTTTTCCTAATGACCTCCTCCATGACCATGATAATAGATCAAAGTAATTGAGAAGCAGATTGACAGAAAGGTTCCAGTTTTTATCTACCATAGAAAATAAATTTTACAGGACAGTCTGGGCAATGAACTTTTTCTGCAATTTTCCACATTTATTTCATGAGCCCAAATAGTCTTTAATATATAGAAAAAGAGATATGCTGTTAGAATTGCACTTCCTTTTCTCATATTAAAATATCTGAGGCATTAAATGACAAAAACGCCTTTACACCAACAGAAGGGGGAATTTGATTGGTATGGCCCACTTAAGATCAAAGTGGGCTTTATGGGCCCACAATGTAAGATGAGTTGAACATTCCTGCATTAAAAGATACAATTTATCATCTGTTACCAATCACCTGTTTAAGACCTGCTCCAACACAGTCTCCGTGTACTGCTAGTGCCGGCCCTAATCACAGAAAAATGGACGGGCATTCGGCAAAACAATCTGGGAAACTCAAATATGCAGATCCACCCAAAAATAACTTTTATTGAAATATCATTTGTAAGGTTTCTTTCCACAAACAATATCAATAGAAGGAATTCAGCAACACAAAATTGTTTTAGGTTTCTCTGTTCCTACTCAGCTGGTACATTAGGTACATTGTAGGCATGCATACCTTTTAAAAAACAGAAGTAAATTCAACTAGATTAAAGGTGCTTAGTAATCTCCAATGTACCCACACTTGTTTTTGTAACTGCACTGAGTCAGTCAGCATTATCGAGCCTTTTTAAATATCTTAGCAAAACCCAAATACAAAGGGTGCATGACAGAAGCTAGTCATTGTGGTTTTATTTTCATTTCCAAAATGCAGTGCTGTAGGCTGTTATGTATTTTTAGCTAAATGTAGGGGACCCACAGCGTGACATCTCTTTTGATGATGGGAAGATGAAAGGAACATGAAGTATGACTAGCTAAAAGGAAGCTGATATTTATGATATGAGAGACTGCTCTCCTTTTTGTGTAGACCTCAGTTTGACTTTAAAAGATGATCTCTTTTTCTTCTCACTCGTTTCAAACACTGCAGCCCTCTTCTGTAAATGTGTCACTCCCGTTCCCTTTACTTACTGTGATTCAGATAGCCTGGGGCTTCTGCTCTCATCCTCTTGTGTGGATTTGCTGACTTAAACAGAGCGACGTGAAGTAGAAGCTGAAGTGAATGCCCTGGTGTGCAAACAAACAGTTGCACAAGGACTACTGTGCAGAGCAGGTATGCACATAAATACACCCCCTTAGTGGGAAGCAGAGCTGTACTAGTCATTCTCCAAACTAGCACACACGACAGTCTGCCTCTTATGTTTTTAACAGCTGGGTTTTAGATTTTTTCAGACTTCAAGTTCTGCATAGGTGAAGTATGTCATCACAAATGCTTGCATGTGTTTCACTCATTAATGCATTCACACCTTTCATCAATTTACAACACCTTGTGTTTTAATAGCCCTTACTTCATAAACTTAATGCCTTTGTTTTCTTTCTAAAACAGCAAGAATCCATCTGTTTTACTGTGTGGGCTATGACTCATGGTGTGACAGACACCTTTATATTTACAGTGATGCCAGCCAAATACAGAGCTCACCTGTCTCCAACTATGCCCTGGAACATGACTCATTGTTTGCTGTAAACATTGTAAATGTTGTATGGTTTATGTGGGGATTCCCTAATGAACGCATTTGTTTTGATCTGGGATTGAGACTGTCTGGATTGGGGCACGAAGAAGTCTCATTTCTGCACCTTTTCCCTCCCTTTGTATTTCTGCATTCTTAATGGCATGTGAATCCAGCAGGCAACTTTTCTATTTGTCTGAACTACGTCAGCACAGCCCAAGGTCAAAACTCCCAAACATCCCACACGCAAATATTGCAAACACCTTGTTTGTCCTGCAGCCCAGCAAATATCAACTCTAGTGATGATACTGCAGTGAACAAAAGGACAAGGAAAAGAACAAGAGAGACAAAGATACAATGAGCATTGGGACACCCATAAAGGAAAAGCGCCTAACGGAAGCACACCCACCTGCCCACCTCCCCCTTTTTCTTTCAGCCTGCTGCACACCTTTGAGGCCAGCCATTCTTGTAGCCCACCTTAGGAAAACATCCGTGCCCCCACACGATGTTGAGCCTTGTGTTTCCTTCTGTCTTTAATCTTAGTGAAAAGAGCTTTTAACAAGGCCAGGGAGGATGAGTGGATCTGCCAAAGAAGAACAAAGGCAGGGAGGGACTTGGAGAGATAGTAGCAGAATGGAAGGCTCTGTAATCTATCACCTGTTGCCCTTGGGCGGCCCTGTACTCCCTGGGCCCTGGGCTTGCTGTGAGCTCATGTGTGTATGTATGTGTATCCAGGTATGGTAAGGTAATGAATAAATAAGCAAAGAACAAGAACAAAACAGATATTCTGGATTCTTTCAAAACCTCAGATTGCTTCAAGTAATTTTCTTCACAAGGAAGGAGTTCTCTGCTTGCCAGCCACTCCACACTTATGCCAAACTCCCATATCACAGACATATTTTGACATAGTGTATTTGTGTGCTGCTTCTTTTTTTATTGATTGGTTTGTTTGTTTGTTTTGGTCAAGATAATGGGATTAATGGAGCAATATATCAGTTTCCATAGTGCACATATGAAGAAAAAGTGCTAAATTAATTTATAGTAGCATTTAAATGAGAAAAAGTATGCAAAAGTAATTATAAAATACATCAAAATAGTCACATCACGTGAGGTTAAACTCAAACTTTAGTGTTGTTAGAGGGATCTATTTGGGTTTTGCTACATTCTGCTGCCTCTTAAAAACTCAGTTCTCAAGTTCCTCTATCTTTGTCTGCCATCTTGTGGCTTCGTGTTGCACGTACCGTAATATAGCCTATATCCTGTACGACATACTATATGAAAGAGTATACGATGGCTTCCCTCTGCTCAGGAAGATTACATTAATTCTGTGCGAGGCAATGCACAAGCTCACTCTACTTCTTATTTCCACACTATACTGTACAATATTGTAGTAATATTTCGATGTCATGTCTTATTGCATTTATATTCGACTTTGCTCGTATTATTTATTTATTTAGTTTCATCTACCTCGTGTCTATTTTGTGGTGTGTTTGTAATCGATGACAATGTGTTGCTGGAACACTGCGATTCATAAATAAACTATCTGTAAAAACTATACAGGGAAAATCTGGTCTTGATCTGTCTTAATACAACGCGCTTTGCTTTTTAGCTTAGTTAAAGTTGGCTAGACTTCACGCTTCTCTAACTGAGCATCATTTTCTGTACTAGTCGTTCGGTCATTAGTTTAATGAGAACTGTCTATTCGTAAAATTCACTCAGTTTCTGTGCGATGCCAGTGTCCTTTCAGCGTGTTCGTCTCTTCTCTTAAAATTCCAACGTAGCCAATAACACATGAACGCAACACCACTAGATAACTAATGACGTAGCGCGTAGCTGTACTGGTTGTGGTCGGAGCAGAGGAAGCTGGGAAAGGATCAAGGAAACCTCTAGCATCGTAGATAAACACCGTAAAGAGGTGTGAAGCCAGCGGGCACACGGCTGTCACAGTACTAAAAGAACAGTAAAAGAGTCCGACTGAGTTCTCCATACAGCGAGGGTCAACATGTCTGAGACATACGGTATGTTTGTGTGGAGTAGGCGGTCATTTAATGCTTGCTAGCTGTTATGTATGACTGCTTCGTGGTCTAATGTGACAGACTGGCAGCGTTGCTATCAGCAAACTGTAAGATTAGCTTAGCTTAGCCACAGGCTAACTTGCCACCTCACCGTGTCTGTGGATTTTAACAGTAATAATTAACATTCAGTGCTGACACGTAGGTCAGTTAAAGTGCTCTGGTTGGATTTCTTCGTGTGTATTAACTGACACCTCTGTCGTTTGATGGTAGCGTGTAGTGCTTCACGGGCAACAAGGAGAGCAGAAGATGGTGAGACATCAACGGGTAAAAGTTGGCCAAACTTTAAGCAAAAGCCATTAATAGCATGTGTAGAGACGTTGAGTTAACGTGAACTTGGGGAGATTCAGGCAAGTTCTGTGACCTTGCGACAGGAAAGGCTGCTGCGATTTGATGTATATTTTTACTTTTAACTGCTAGCCACAAGGCCTGTAAGAGGAAGTTTGATAGCGATGGTTGATCATGCATCGGTTACCTGCAGGGCAGACGCTGCTTGGTGTCTCACTGGTGTAATGCATCTGCTTCCATGCTTATTTAAAGTAACTCCGCTCTTGCACTTGACACAGATACGTTATAAATGAATCCTGACAGAATGAATGCTGCCTGCACTTATCTATGATCATTCACATAATGAGCAGATACAGAGATGTATTCGTGGTCTCATAAATTCATTAAACAGTACTCTGTCTGATAGTCAGTAAGCCTGACACTGCAGAGCCATTTGTTATGAAATGGCACACCATCATCCTCTCCTGTTGCACTCCCAGATACACTCTCTCCCTCTGTTTATACTTGTACCCTGTCTCTCTCTTTCCTCGTATGAAACTTTATCCAAGTGGGCAACATTTATGGGAGAGTGCCAGCACTAATGGGACCTGTAAAAGACTTTTATTGATTTTTTTTTCCTTCTCTCTCTCTGTCTCCTCAACTGTCTCATCTGGACGATCAAAAGTCGACAAAAAGGCATTATGAATTCAATAAGGGCCTGTTAAGTGTTTTAAAATGCATAGTTTTCACTGATTAATTTCAGTAATGTCTATCAACATGAGAATCATGAGTTTATGTTGATGTTACAGAATTTGGCACATGTAGCAGGGGGAGAAGGAAATATTGTAGTAGTACTCCTTTTATTGAACTTTTTGTTGCTGTTAGTTTTTATTCATCATTACTTTTTATATTGTTGGATCTCTCCCCCCCCCCCCCGCCCCCCCCCCCCCAAAAAAAAAGGGAGAGAGAGAGATTGGAAGGGCTCACCCATTGCACCCATCCTCCCTGGTGGTTGGGGGGGGGGGGTACTTAATATTGATGAGTGAGGAATAAAGTAGCCTGAGAGGGTAGTGCTGCAGTCCATTCTCCCTGCTTTTGACATTATTGATGGTTTGATTGTTGTGTCCAGATCTCACACAGAAGTATACGATGTCTGAGAAAATGCAGAAAGGCTTGGGCTAGCTTTTAAAACTGAGCGGTCTGTCTCTGATTTTTGTCAGCACTGTCACAGCCACTGAAGTGTGGTTGAGATGTTACGCTGACTGCTGTTACACAGAAAAATAAGTGGGTTTCGACGCCTTCGCTTTGTTGCAGTTACTCTGTTACCGAGACTTTGACCTCTGGCTTGTGTTGCTTAAGAAAACACCCGCTTCAACAAAGGTGCACCATGACCTGAGCTGGCGGAGGTGTGTGTCAGCAAATGAAGGTGGCTCATGGAGCAATGACATAATTGGTTTAAATGTCACCCAGAAAGTAAAGATTAATCTCATACTTTGATTTACTGTTTCTGTTGACTTTGTGTGAAGCTGGTGATATCAACAGCAGCCAGTAATCACTTGCCAGGCTTTGTGCTTTCAGAACCTTTGTTTGAGCTCAAAGTGAAATTGAAAATTTACTTAAAATTCAACCTGAACAAGTTCTCAGTAGGGAAGCTGTAGTTTGCCATCATGCTTTCACATATTTAGGAGAACACTATCACTTCTGCATGTCTTGCATTTCATTTACTACCTCTCTAATTATTTATTATGTCTTACTTAACCAGAGCTAAGAGAGATTGAAAGTTGCAAGATAAAGCTTGTGAAGCCTTAGGAATTACCTGGATTACTGACTGATTTCTCATACAGGCTGGTCTTTATGTAAATCACAAGTATAGCCAGATGAGACTTGACTAATCTAACATACAAAGACTATGATTCACTTAAGCACTAACCTTTCATGTCTTGTTTCCTCCCCCTGAGGAAGAGAACTTTTCTGTTAGCAGTTTGTCTCAGAGCGTGCCGTATCATGCCTTTAAAAATGATAGCATGGTAGAGGTAGCATCATGGTTTTGGGCTGTCCTTGGGATCTGGATGGCCTGTAGCCATTAACAGAACATTTCATTTAAAATTTATATCAAAAAATGTTCTCAGTGTAAGAACAGAGGAGCAGTTCATGACCCGGAGCTTCAAGAAGTTGGGTAACGCAGCCAGACAGTAACTCAAGTAAATCAACAGAGTGGTTCAAAAAGAAGAATTTTTGGGGAGTGATGAACAAACCGCAGTCCTGACCTAGTTGAAATTATGTAGCATGACCTAGAAAGGGAGCAAACAAATATATATGAACTGAAACGGCTCTCTTGGAAGGAATGATGCAGAATTCCTCCCAATTATTGTGTTGTGTTAGTCCCACAAGCTGTACGTGAAACACATGGTCAGGTCTTTACTGCTACTGCTTGGGTGGTTAAGAAATTGTGAAATCCTGGTAATTCCAAAGCCTTTTTTTTTTTTTTGCAACTTGGTTTTCATAACTGATCAGCGTAAATTCACACACATGCAGCCATTTTTCATACCTAACTCTCCTTATCAGATCTCCCAGTATACTGGTCAGAACTGCCGTTCAGCATACATCCAGTATGCAAATACCCCCTTGTGTTATCTTTGGCCACAGCACACAATGGCTATCTGTACTCTAAATGGGTTTGCATGTCAAGGGATCAAGTCATTATGGATCATTTGTGTTGGCTGGATTGAGCCCTTCAAAGAAAAGACCCACTTTCCACAACATCTGTGCAAAAGCCTGCCTTTGGTTATTATTCAACCTGTGTGCAAGTCTGTTGCCCTAAGCTGTGGTTAATAATGCTAAAGCTCAAACCTTGTTCTAATGACATGTGTTATTAAGTGTTGGTGCTTTTCTAAGGCTTCAGAGACACACTCATTTTCAACCTCAGACAAACAAGTGTATTAAATTAGAATCGTAAGTGGCAAGTTAAACTGATTACATGCTAGGTGCTTTGTGATTAGTAGGCTAATTTGGGTTTGGTAGGATACTATGAAAGTAGTAGCTCAATGGGATTAAGAGGAAGGATTGTCCCTGAGGATGGAAGTGCAAAGAGCAGCAGGTTCTCTATTGATGTTGGCATTGCATTGATCTCTACCTCCTTTTGTGTGCTTGCAGACTTCCTGTTTAAGTTCCTGGTGATTGGCAGTGCTGGGACGGGGAAATCCTGTCTCCTCCACCAGTTCATTGAGAACAAGTGTAAGTTCTAAAACGCTGCATTTCTAAAGTTTAATACTGTGCAAACACATAAATGGACACGTTCACGAAATTATTGTAGTCAGTTTCACGAGTTGCATATTGACTAAACCGTTAGTCTGCGGATGATCTGGAGAAAATTCTTCATTGACTGGTATGAGTCAGAGTACAATGACAGGATGATGTGGGCATCTGTCGACCCAGAATAAAACCAATCACCACAGTTCTTTGCCTCACACTGTCCTGCAGAAAGAGACAATTTTCTGTGTGGTTAAATGGAGGGAAAACATTATACTTCCTGTTGACTTTCTCTAGCTAACAATGGCCAAGTTTACACCGAGCTCGATGCTCTCATTATATTGTTAAAATTCTCCATATGAAACATTAATTCGTTTAAAATACAAATTGAAACGTCAATTCAGTTTCAGAGGGGTGGTTTAAAAAAAACAAACCATGTCAACACTCCTTCATGTACAGAGTCGTGCTCATGATTACATTTAATTTGATTAAGATATCTCAGGGGTCCCTGTGGATAGAGAAAGAGAGACTGGGCAACTTGGCACTGTTAATCTAATTTGCAACTCCCTGTAGCTTATAATGTGGATATGAGGTATTTGAAAACGGCAGCAGAGGTCTTTTAAACAAGCCAAACACCAAATATTACACATGTAGTTTTTTCGTTTGTTTTCCTGCTCCTTTATGTATATTTCATGTTGTGCCTTTTTTTTTACACTGTCTTCTGTTTGTTCCTACTGCAGTTAAACAGGACTCCAACCACACCATCGGTGTGGAGTTTGGGTCTAGAGTGGTCAACGTTGGAGGAAAGACAGTCAAACTGCAGATCTGGGATACTGCTGGCCAGGAGCGATTTCGGTATCTACCTTCAAAATTTACCTAAAGTCACAAGTCCCAGCTCCACTGGGATAATGAAGTGTCTGACTGATGATAACTGTTAAAATGATTGGACAGTTTCTCCTGTCAAATCTCACCATCTGATCTTTTAAAGGAGCCTTTTTTTTTTCTCTCCTCCATTTTCTCTGCAGATCTGTTACACGCAGCTACTACAGAGGAGCAGCTGGAGCACTTCTTGTCTACGATATTACCAGGTAAAACAACCACTGCCCTCGTGCTCCCACTTCCTTTTCATAAGTTTCTCTAACAAAGTGAGCTTTTTTGTTTGCTGTGATAATGGGATGTAGATACTACAGTTGTACCTTAATTTTCCCAGAATAAAAACTACATGTTTACTAAGACTCCCAGAAGCAACAAAATGTAAGGTTGTATTTGGTGTGGGCATTGGCATCTGTGATTAATTGAAAATTTTAAATGTGACTACAATTAAAATGAAATTTTACAGACTTAACTGGAAGCTTAGTTTATTTTTGAGTGTTCATACTGTTTCGAGTCCATATATCAACTAACAAAAGGAGTCACATTGTGCCTGTACAGCCTCCAGAAATCGTGCTGTTTAATGACAGACCACTCACATTACTGTATTTCATAAACTCTTTCAACAAACTATGGGCTTTTGTTGAGGTGAGGTGGAGTGCGGACTGTCAAGAGCTGTAATATAGAGGCATCCTCTGTCAGGTAGCGTCTGTAGAGGAAAGCAGAAGTCCATCACAGATGGTGTCACCTGACACACTCTCGCACAGGGAAACAGACAAGTGTATACAATGAAACTAGAGCTACAGCCTCATGCTGAAAACAAACTGAAACAGAAAATTGGGTAAATAACATGAATAAAATGTCTTACAGTCGAGAGACATACAATGCCCTGACTAACTGGCTGACAGATGCACGGACACTGGCGAGTCCCAACATTGTTATTATCCTGTGTGGCAACAAGAAAGACTTGGATGCAGACAGAGAGGTGACCTTCCTTGAAGCTTCACGCTTCGCTCAGGAGAATGGTAACTTATCTGTACATTGATGCATTTCAAATGCTTTTTTCCCCACTCTTAGAAGTATTTTTGTTCTCCCACACACAGAGCTGATGTTTCTAGAGACTAGCGCGCTAACAGGTGAAAATGTCGAGGAGGGTTTCTTGAAGTGTGCTCGCACCATTCTCAACAAGATAGATTCAGGTACACATTGTTTTCTTTGTTATAGAAGTGTATCTGAGGTGGATGTTTTTTAATGCTTTCAGAGCTTGAGCGCATGAAGTGATGTGGATCTGACATTTTTAGAGCATACATGTCTGTGTCATTGATGTTTCTCATTGTGCTTCTCTCAAAGGCGAGTTGGACCCAGAGAGGATGGGTTCAGGTATTCAGTATGGAGATGCTTCGTTGAGGCAGCTGCGACAGCCCAGAGGCACCACAACACAGAATAAGCAGCAGTGTAATTGCTAGGGGTCGGGACCCACCCTCACCCCAGCCCACAGGTCCACACAGACAGAACTCCCCCTACAGGTCAGTAACTTGTTAACTAGGGATGGGTATTGATAAGATTTTCACGATTCCAATTCCATTTTTGATTCTGTTTAAACGATTCGATTCTTTATCGATTCTTTTTTCTTTTTTTTTCTTTTTTTAAAAGGAGAACACTAAGGTTGATTAGCTTAGAACCTTTTTTTTTTATATCTTCTCATTGAACAAGATAGACATTTAGGAGTAGCATGGCCTTACAAACCCAACAGTGAGATCTTAAGAGATCCTTAAGAGATTCAGCCTATGGCTCTTCAATGGGGTGTCACAGGGTCCCCGGGGGAAAAAATTGTAAATGTAAAATAAATATTCTTCTGTAGCAATAACAAAGTATAACATAAATTATTCTGTAGCAATTACACAAGAATATCCAGTAATGTCCCTGCCTACAATTAAACACATTCACTTACCGAAAATCGGGGGCATCTGCTGTGGCAAATGGGTGCAAGCCTTTTACCACAAACTTAGTCACTGCTCGGTGACATTCGTCTATCCTGGCCTGAAAGGAGACGCTACCGGTAGACTGCAGCGAGAACTGCCAGCATCTGAGCCAGACTCTGTCTGTCTCATCATGGTCACCTAAATGCACAGTAATAGCAGGTTTTGTAATAAGGCAGATCGCGCTAACATAATATGCACTGTTAGTTGATTATTTACCTGCCGCATTGACGGGAGAGGACGTGCAAACGTTACCGCTGCTGCTGGGTTGAGATTCACGAGTCTGGAGCGGAAATAAAATCACGACATTCATTTAAGGTTATCGCGTGTTTTGTGAGCAAATGCTTTTGCATATTCGTAGTGTTTCCTCCCTTAAATGAAATATCTACTTTGCAAGTATTGCAAGTTGCCCTGTTGTCATCCGTTCTCGTAAAGTATGACCAAACTTTTTAGCATTTGAGCTGCCATGTTTCCTGCCAGGTAAATGACGCTCCGCAACGTGACGACGTCATTCGGGGCGACTGGAATCGATAAGGGAATCGATTGCAAAAATGGGAAACTCAACAAGAACCGATTTTCGATACCCATCCCTATTGTTAACTCATGTGACCAGTGGGACTTGTAAACTAACAGGTTTTATCTGTGTTAGCGTTGATGAGGGCGTGTCGGTGCTCACTTTGTTTCCTGTTCTTAAACATCTCGGCTCCAGGTTTTTTTTGGTGTGTGATCGTCCTTCCCCCTCTCCTTCAGTTCCACACACCTTGGATCACCTTGGATCGTGGAGATCACCGCAACCTATGACCCTTGACCTCTGGTAAGAGTCTACGGCTTACCAAAGGGGGTCGGTTTGCTCTTGCGTTTGGACAGCATAACCCCTTGGTGTGAGCAAAGTGGAAATGTAAAGAGACATCCTCCACCATGGTCTCTGTTACTTATCAGACAAGGACAAAGTCAAGGGTTGTGTGTTTGGGCTGACCTACTGTTGTGTGTTATTCTTTTTTTCTCTCTTGCTCTCTGCTTTTTCATTCTGGTTTTAGCAATCCCCAAAATACTTTGAGCATTTACATATCATTGCTTGTAAATTATTATTGTTAAACTCTTTTGTGCATTCAACCTGTCCTAGTGTGGGTCATTGGGTTTTTTTTTTTTCTTCCTAGTTTTAGCATTCATAAAGACATCCCTTACTATTTTTTTTTTTTTTTTTTTTTTTTTTAAATCATGCATCATTAACTATATTTCTCATAAATGATGGAAAATATTATTTTCCATCATTTATGAGAATTTTTTTTAATGGAAAATAAATGATAAACATCACACATTTTTTGGGTACGATTTACACCAGGTGTGATGCAAATCCTTTCTACTTTGTCCTGTCATTTTAATTTTTTCGTAGTAGACCAGATGGATTCATAGCATATAAATCCCAACACTGATATGTATAAACTCTCATGGGGGGATGATCCCATCACTCCATTCTACACCCAAACAGGCCAGGCTGTGGGTCAGGTTGAAAGCACAAAAAAAGAGAACTTTTGCTCTTTATTTAAACCAAAAGTCCACAAGTCTGTAAATTGAGCTTTATCAGAGTCACACCATGTTTAAATTCACATGTCCAGTTATAGTGATAAATTGGCATTATAATGTTTTTGACTCCTGCTGGGCTTTTCTCCATGACATCTCGTAGATTCATACATGCACGTACTGTATAAGACGTCACAGGAAACCACAGTTGGCTTTTGTTTGGTTTGTTTGGGAAACTTTTGTGCCGCCCAACCAGCCAAAGGTTTGACCTTTTTGTTTTTTGTTTTTTTGTTTTTTAAATTCATGCCACATTGTACGTTCAATTTGACAGGATTCTGTTTTTAAACTTCCAAGTAATCACTTCTCTTTAAGCTCTGGATATCAGAGGGGGGGATAAAAGACAACACAAAATTATTATTAGACAATGTACTCTCAAATCATCTTCATTGTTCATTGACATTGATTGTACAAGTGGAGCTATACTGGAGGGATAAATATTTCCTCATTTGACATCTTAAAATGCTAATCAAGATCCTCCATATGTGCTCGTTTGAGCTGTAGTATATGATTTGTAATATTTTATTTTTTATAGTCTGAACAATAATCCCTCATGCTCTATTGATAGGGCCATTCTCACCCTAGAAGACACCACCTCCATCAGATGAAGTTGGGTTTTGTTTTTTTGTTTGTTTGTTTTTGTGACTATCGGTGACCCTGACCCTCTAAACGGGAAAAGTAGAACCGATCCATGCCAGCAAAGTGGCCCAAAGTGGCCCTCTCAGTATAACTGAGACACCACATCTCCTCAGTGTATGGGTCAAATTCCAAGTTTTTCCCTTTAATATCTCCCTCTGCAGCTCTGCTGCAAAATGTCAGTTTTGTTGCACCACTGAACTGACCCAGATGTTTTCTCTTGAGAACAGACCTTGTATTACTCTAGAGAGAAACAGGGGAATTTCCACAGAAACACAGTTTCCTCTCTGCTTGTAACACTGACAACATGGTTTGTGGTGCTGCTGGAGGAAAATGAGGTTGCAAGTTAATGGCTTAGAAAATCCAAAGCCCCTGCTCTGCTGTTTAATCAAAGGCACCGCTTCTGTCTGAATCACTGTCTGAGAGCAGGTCATACAAACCAAGCCAAGAGGAGCTCAAAAACAAAGTGTGCGCAAACGTATTTCTCAAGCCTCTGTGTTGGCATACGTTCTCCCAGACAAACCATATGTGTTTAAGCTCAACTGGGCCAGCACACTGAAAGGGCAAACATGAGATCATATAAGACATCAAGAGACAGATGGTCAAAACACATTGCTTTCATAAAATATTTGCATAGCATGATAGTTTGTCTCCTTCTGCAAGTGCACTTTTACTTTTGAATCTGTGTTTGTTTTGTTTATATGCTGTAACTATAGAATTGTACATTTTATTTTACTTGAACTGTATAATGTAATAAATATATTAATTTTAGATGTTATCTTTTTACTAAATGACAACTGAGATTCTTCATATGGTTTCATTTTTTCTGATGCTGTCAGGCAGCAACAAAAAATGGTGTAATAGTGTGATCTCATGCTGTGTGAGATTTGATTGGTTTATTGCTCCCTGCTGACGTGGAGGTAATGATGGAAGGGTGTTGACTTTGTGAGCTGTAGGTGGCCATCAGCAGCAATTCTGATCACTCGTTCACAGGCTGTCATCTATGCGCAGTTATTGAGTCAACTGTTGAATTGTTAGCCTGCATTCATCTGTATTCGCTGTACAGTTCATAAAGATAATCAGAGTAGCTATATGAACATTTTCTCATTTGTTCCAGTATAGACTCAATAATGTGATGAACGCAATCCAACTCAGTTGTTGCTTAGATTATAAAACATTACTAACCTAAATACTACTGTACATCTCAAGTAACCTATCCTGTAAATAAGATTTGTCTATTAAGGGTGAGTGTTGCTCATTGATTGTAATGATTATGCAATTCCCAGTAAACTGCTTGTTTTTCATTTAACTCTTTTCACTGGTTTCCTGAATGTTAATGCTATCAGGGATTTTTTTTTATTTTATTTTTTATATTTTTACTTTGGCATTAAGCCACTGCATTCACTTGGTTATTGCTCAAGGGCGTTGAAGTGCATCGGATCCTGAATGTTGGTGACCCCCAGCCCTCGTGCACAGCAATGCAAGCAGCATTTACAAATCAGATTTATAGCCAGCTGACTTAACAGACCTTGAAATTTAACAATGGGTCCTACTAGGTACATGATTCATTTACCTCTGCCTGCCTTTCTTCTGTCAAGTCATTTCTCTCAAAGGCAGTCAGGCTGAGGTTAGGATATCAGAGGACTCATATGATGAAGAGTAAATGCCCTCTGTCACAATTGTCTGGATTTATGCTCTTGGGTCGATGGAGTAATGGCCAGAGCGGTTTAATGTAGCTCAAGTGGATATATTGAATGATTTATTGATTTTTAGACAGGCTATCAAGATGACTTCATAACCACATTGCAAATTCACCGAGGGAAAGGATTGACTTACCGCTAGATGGCGGTGATGCACTAGACAGGTTTAAATCTGAATTTTAAAGACTTGTATTTACATGTTTCGTCAGTAGCTTTGAGTGTTGTTTTATACGAAATCAGCCCAACAGTTTTAGCAGTGTAGCATGACTACATGTTTTAAGACATCAGAAAAAAGTCAAGATCTACACCTAATAAAATCCCCTCTTCCCAGAATATTAGGTCAGATACTGAAACCTTTGCATTACTTCATCTGTTTATTATTTACACAAAGAGGGAGATACTGGCATAAGTGAACAGGAGACAGTACTACACGCATCACTTTCATCAACAAACTCACAGGTGGACAAGAAGGGAAGCAGTACATATTTCACTAATTTTAAAAAAAAAAAATACAAAACTTGAATATATGAAACCACCTTTGAGACCTGTGAATAGATATGATTAAAATTAGAGTATGACCATGTCAAAGATTTAGGCTGAGCAAAAGGATGTGAGTAAAAGCTTTTTTTTTTCTAAGAGGAATTTAAAATTCAACTCATTTTATGCAATGCTAAAGGAATGTATGGAAATACTGTGAGCAGGAACTATTTGTGTTCACAATATTCAACACAGGCTACACTGTATGTACACACCATACAAAGCAATTTTCACATTACTGATTTATGTAAAATATACCTTCTGTATCTAGGGATAGTTTTAAGTGTTCTTAAGAGTAACCAACCAGCACCATTTGATGTAACGAGCTGCATTAAATGACAGATTATTTCAAAAGCAACAGAAATCATCACAACATACCACTGTGCAACCATTGGATGTAACATGACCTATACTATTGACCACCATCAGCCATGAGGACGTCTGGACAGCACAGGTTGCCATAACAAACTGTCAGAACGGCACTCGTTCTAAGCACACTCCATTCAATTGAACTAGCTGTGCTGGGTCAACTGGTCTGAAGAGGTTTCCGTAGTTTGCCTATACTCCAATCCAGATATAAATTGCGCAGCAGCCATGATGAATATCCTAAAACTTCCAAGACCTGCTTAACATTACTTATAGAAAAGGCTGCGAGGCTATTATAACTTCTCAATGCACAGGGGTCATTATAGGCAGTCTCTATGGTGCTTGTTAGTCACAGTAGTGCCATTAAATACATGTTTAGGTTAATGAGAGGAGGGCAGAAGAGAGCAGTGTGACACTTGTTTCCACACTGCACAGAGATAGATGCAATTACTTTGTGGTTACTACAGGAATAATTCATTTCTGTGGCCACTGGCTTGTGGAAGAAGAAAAACAGAATACAGCTGAGTAACTAAGGCAGTATATGTAATTTTAACTTGTTGAAATGTGCTGTATAGCCTTCAAAACATCCTCACCAGTAAGACGGGTGCAGAAGATTGCAACATATAGACTTGTGACAAAAGATTAATTGGACTCATATCCATATGTAAACAATATTAATCTTCTTTACTAAACACCCCCTCCCCCCTTTCCCTTGAAGTCCTGGTAAATGTTGGCTCTGCAGAGACAGGAACATGACAAATGTCCATTTCAGACTGATACAAAAAAAATGAGCAAGATGTTTTGGGTGCCAGGGCAGCAGATTAGTATCCAGGTAAGATAGATGGTTATCGACTTTTTTCTTTTCTTCTTTTTTTACTCGAGTGATTGGAGCATGAGGAGCTGCTTGAGGACCTTTGTCTGACTGGTCTCCCTGATCTCCCCCGCCAGGAACATCTCATCCACCACCGTGTACACCTTAAAACACAATTCAGAGGACAGAGCCCAACACTGATGAAACTGAGGATATTAAGATGATTCAAAACAGAGTACAAATATCACAAAGTAGTCATCCAGCCTGCTATTTGTCATCATTGTGTAAAAATAACCAGAGTGACAAAGAAATTAACCTGACAAGATGAGTCACTCTTCTTTCCATCACCTGCTTTTCTCAGGTGTGTTGTAGTTTGTGAAAGAGGTTGTAGTTGTCAACAGCTGATTTACCTTATTTGTTGGTTTCTGGCCATGTCATACATGAGCGGTGTTAGAGTAAAGCATGTGGGCGGATGTTCACATGCTTTTTAGGTAATTAGCAATTAACACTAGCGGCAGGTGGGGCAAGGGAGTTTAAGCATTTATGAAAAGGAAAAAAAAATCCACCCCCACTAAAGTAATTAAGATCAAAAAGAAAAAAAAAACCTAGCTGTGATTATTATATCAGTTACCATGGCACTATACTAAAAAAAGCACTTTCAGAGCTCTCTTTTGTCCTCCTCTGTTCAAGGTCTTTTTAATTGGATATCAAGACTCTTAAAAACAAAAGGGAAGAATTCCCTTCTCAATATGCTTACCTTGTAGAAGTTGAACACAAGGTCCAGCTCACACACATTGTGGAAATACTCATTCAGCACCTTCCAAGAAGCAAAGGAGCAATTGAAAATACAAATTCAATTCAATCAGATAAGAATCCAAACAGACTACTTTAGTAACACACACACACACACACACACACACACACACACACACACACACACACACACACACACACACACACACACACACTAATGTGATGCACTAGTGCAGGAATTATGTGATGCTGTAGCAGCAGCAGAATCCACTTGAAAACCATGTAATACACTTATATCTACTACATCTAAAATGTGGCCATTTAAAATTAATGTGAGTCTGGCCTCATCTCGTTTCCACAGGAGATCATTTCGAGCAGTGATACGGTTTCATTTACAAAGCCAGAATTACTGACCCCTTGTATTTGCTACAATGAATGTTAAAACCAGCCTGTGAGCAAATCCTGCTGTGAGCTAATGGAAAGTGTGGCATGGTATCTTTTATGAGAATATTTTCACTGACTAAAATAATAATAATTTTTTTAAAAACCCTTCATTGGTGTTTAGATGGGGCTTTATGTAATAACAAGCTTGCCAGCTAGAAAGTAAGACAGCTCGTTTTGAGAATACCGTAATGTGCATTCCTTCACAGTCAAACATTACATCAAATGACCTTCACTCCCGGGTGCTCTGGACAAAAAATGGTCTACTGTTTGTCTTAGCTAGTGGCAAACACTAGATTGTACTTTAAGCTCACAATTTCAATTGCTACCACATCATTTAAAGACTAAATGATTAGAAAAATAAAGACATGTTAAACTAAGCTTTAGAGGAAAGCACACTCAAGCTGACTGATGTGTCCAGACAATCACCGTGATCTACCTATGCTCTCTAAATCACTGATTAAACTAAATGCTTGATAACAAAGGAGTTCAACCATTTTAAAAATAACTATCTCATATCAACTGTTAATTAAAGTCCATGAAGGCAGCATAACTTGTCTCGAACCTGATGCACCACTGAAGACTAGATGGGTAAAGTTAGTTCTGTATCTGTTTAGGTGTTTTAGGTTCAGAGTTGCTCAAAATGAAACCAGCGACATTGAATTTTGGAGGGAATTCTGACAGCAGTTTGAGGGCATTCATTAGTTATGGCTAGTGGTGCAACGGATCACTATTGATCCGTAATCCGAACCGGTCCCCACTCCACGGTTCGGCACGCACATGATCCGAAGGTTCGAAAAAGAAGAAAAAAAAAGTATGTGTGTGGTGCACGTGGTCAGTCTGTCAAGCTGTAGTTATGGCCAGCGCTAGCGGTCCAAGTGGAGGAGCAGAGGAGTTTGCGGCATTTAAGCAGCCATTTGCTGCCCAATCCGTCCGGGCTAAAGCTATTACAAAAGCTATTGGGGTGTTTAGCTGCAGATGTGAGGCCGTATTCCGTTGTGCAAAACAAGGCGTTTAAACTATGATGAACGTGCTTGAGCCACGCTATGATATCTAGTTGCGCGTCCACTTCAGTGACAAGATCGTTCCAAGCATTTATGAGCAGGAAAGTCTAAAGTTATGCCCTTGTGTTTATTGAGATGGCATGTGGTATTTAGTTATGTCTCTGTGTGAACATGCCTTTTTTAAGCCTAACGATAAGGTGAATGTTTTGTGCTGTGACCTTTAGTGTTTTGGAGAAGTTGGTCAGTTTCATTTGGATCACTTGCAATTGTTGTTGGCCAGGTAATAATGGTAACTGTGGTGTTAAGCAACAATTGTTGCTGTGATCAACGTGGGGAGTGATACTGAATTTTGTGGCTATAGTAACCTTCTGTGGTATAGAACCACTTGGTATGTGACCATTTATGTTGTGGGGACAACAGATCACTTCTGGTTGAGATTATTAGTTACTACTATTGGTTTCAGTTGCAAACATTTCTGAGTAATCATTTTGGTTTGCGGGTGTTATACTCCAATTTGGGTTGATCGTATGTTACTATCGTGTATGCAGTGTAGCAATTTGTGTGATCTTCATAATGATTAAATCCATTTAAATTATTTTAAAAGGACTAAGTTTTTCTGTGTAGTGGTCAGACAGTAGTTTTCTTAATATGGGAGTGGCTGCAGCTCAGGAGGTAGAGCAAGTCCTCTACTGATCGGAAGGTTGGTGACTGGTTTGATCCCTGGCTCCTCCAGTATGCATGCCAAATCCACCCCAAGTTGCTCTCCCATGCAGCCAACCGGAGTATAAATGTGTGTGATTGGTAGATAGAAAGGACTTACGCACAGAAGAAAGTGCTTGTGTGAATGGGTGAATGAGGCATCTATACAGCGCTTTGAGTGTTCTGGGAGATTTTTGCTGGCTTAATCTTCTCTCCAGGGTTGATTTAGCTTGATTGGAATAAGTATGCCACCGTTGCAAGGCACACATATTGTCCTGCTTTCCCTATTTGTATTTCAGATCTAGGATATCAAGAACCAGAAGACTCCAGAGGGGTCTTTTCTTTATTTGGGGATCTTGGAAGAACCTTTTTGAGTAGGGGAGGTGGTACACCCATCTGAAACCTCTACTTGTCTTGCAGTGACAGAGATTGGATAAAGCCATGCCTGAGGTTGGCTTAGGAGGATGGCACTTCTTGTGTTTATGCTCTCTGGCCTTTCATTTTTTGCTGAAATTTTAAGTACTTTAAAATAAAATCAGTGTTTTTAGAAACTCTGGGATCAGCCTTCATGCTGTGACTTTTGAGCCAGGTCATAAAATAGTGCAATACTGCCTTTTGGCACTGCAGTGTATCTATGTGGCAAGGCGTTATCAAATCTATCAATATTTTAACGATAACATTTTTTTCCAGCATGGTATAACACTAACACTAGTCAAAAATGATACACCCAAGACTGTAAAATGAATGTGACGTAAACATAGCTTTAATAGGTTCTGGAATTTGTACTGAAATACAGCGTCATGCTAAAAGTTTAAACTATAGATACAAGCTGTGGTATGAGTCAGATTTATAGAAAACAATCTGACTTCACTAAAAACTATGAATAAGTTAGACTTTTAAAAATGCAGAAATTCAGGTAGCACTTTATTCTGAATTTAAAGCATCCTTTATACCTGAGTTATTTGAAATCCAGAATGGCTTTCACATTTGGGAAACAATATTATAATAATGTAAAAACTAAATGATGTGCTCTTCAGAAGCAACAGATAAAAAAGAAAACATATCATCTTTTAAAATTGGACTTATGTATGCCATGGAAGAAAGGGTTTATATCTGCATAACTACATTTGATATTTAAATTTGATTTTCACAGGTTGAATTATTTTATAGATACTTGCCTACTGGGAATATGCTTCAAAAATAGGGCATTCTATAGTATAATGTTGTAGTTCTATAGTCCTATGCAGATTTTATCAGCAGGAAGTCAGATCACAGCATAGTGGATCTCTGCTACCAATTCAGTTTTTACAATTGTCTTCTATTATGTGGAAGGTAAATACTTGAATAACAGCATCATTATGTGGGCAGAGGAAATATATCAAAATAAAGATATTTTTGAAAATAAATGGCAGAATTTAATTGCTGAATATGGGATGCTTTGAGCCAGGGTGAAAACTGAGAATACCAGTGGAGACTAATGAAAGAAGCAAGAGGGGATTTTGTTTTTCTTCCTGTTCTCTCTGTTATGTAAAGATTAAAAAATAATATTGAAATATATGTGCATTTAGCTATAAATGTATATAGGCTGGTAAATAATACATGGATTCTGTTTAGCTGTACATAATAATGCTTAACTAATTTATATTCTTTATTTCCTTTCCCCCCCCTACTTGGAAACCAAGTTAAAATTTTTTAACTTTTCCACTTCCACTGTATATACTTCAACTTTAACTACTAAAGACTTTTACTACATATAATTTTACTGCAAGCCTTACAACCCAGAGAAGTTCTAAAGGAGCTCCAAGCCAGTGAAGGATGATAGCCTCTGAACAAAATCATTGAGAGACATTCTTGAAAACCATCAGACCATGACTACTAAATTATCATAGCTCACTTACTAGGTCTATATATTGTGTGTTTCATTTACCTCTACAAAGTTGTGGATTCCCTCGAGGTACGCCAAGTTATTATCAGTCACGTCAACACAAATACAGAAGTACAGACCAGCATAACGTCTGTAAATGATCTTGAAGTTCCTGAACTGTGAGAACAACAGAAAAATCCTCTTAAGAGCTTAATCTTGCATATTATGACAACAGCAGCAGATTTACCAGGGCTGAAGCTCCCACGGTACGGTAAAACACACCCAGTATGCATACATTCATACTGATTATTTTTTAACAGCATTAAAAACCTGATCCACTAAAGGGGTTCTCTTTTCATGTGATGTTGTATTCCACTAGAATTTCATTCAGTTATCATATAACATAGAAAAAAAACATGTTAAGAGATAATGCCTGCAATATCTATGTAGTGAAGGAGCTGGGCCAGCTGTGTCATTATACAGGATTAGAGAAAAGAGGTTGTTGTTCTAGCACGTCAAAGAATCGTTTGAAAAAAGAAAATGTGGGTACATGCGGCACTGCCTAATCCCATACCTCCACAAAGTTGGTGTGCTTGGCATCTCTGACAGTAACGACAGCATGCACTTCTTCAATCAACTTCTGTTTCTCATCATCATCAAACTGCATGTACCATTTGGCCAGTCGTGTCTTTCCCGCTCGGTTCTGGATGAGGATAAAGCGGATCTGTAAGAAACAAGACAAAAAAATAAATAAATGAGGCATTCTTTACTTGTCCTTAACATCCAATATTAAGCAGTTTGACACTGACAGAATTATGAAACTCCCAGAAATGACTCATTAGCAACACACAATATAATCTTACTTTGCCTATTAGTAGCTGTCGTACATAATATAACTTTGGAGATACTTACCATTTAGGCATCCAACTATTTTAATATGTAAGATATATTACAAGTAACTGTAGCTACCCTTAGCTTATCTACAGCTTATCGACAGTTAAACATAGTGTTAGCTAAACCACACCCATTCATTTTGACAGCATCGTTTTCGGAGAACTCGGCAAAGTAAAATCGATCTATTTCAGTAAACTGATAGTTGTTTGGTAAAACATCTTGATTTAAAATTGTTGGCGTCCCAGTTAGCTTATCGTTTTCTACTCACTGAATGGAATAGCCGATCTGGCGAACTCTCAGATGCTAGCAACCAAACGACAAATGCTACTGACATGAGAAGAAAATACAACATAGTTCGTTTGAGACATATTTACCATTTTCGCCTCCCAAATATGGACCTTAGAGACTCCAAAGCAGCAGGTTCCCAAGTAAGTGTGCAATAATTTTCACATTAATACATCGATATTTTATGACCGCTCGTCCGCTATCTTCTCCAAGCTAATAGGAAGTGGCAAAACTATGGCTGCGTCACGTTGCATGATGGGATTGTAGTTTTTCCTGTCACATTTAGAAGCAATGGATTTTAATATAGAACTACAACAACCAACGTCACTGTGTGGCGTCTCGTATTGAGTCGTGCAGTGGATCACATGAGAAGCAAAGAGCCCATCTCTCTAAATATTTTTGTAGTTTTTCGTGTTTGTTTCAGGTTTTATTCTTTTCTGAAAGAACTACCGGAAGCACTTCCTGTGGAATAATTTCATAAGTATTGCATTTAACTTTTTATCTATTTTTATAGTATCCTAATACTATAAAATTGATTTTTAAAAATATGTCACTGTTCTCTTGGGCAATTTCCTGTCAGTTCTTAGACTGGTTAACACTTCTTCTTTTGGCTGCTCCCTTTAAGGGTCGCCATAGTGAATCGTTTACCTTCATCTCCTATCCCCCCTTGCCTAGCATACTCCTCTGTCACACCAGTCCTCTGTATGTCCTCCATCACTACATCCATTAACCTTCTCGAAGATCTTCCTGTTGTCTGCCTACCTGGCAGCTTCATATTTAATATCCTTTCTCGAATATATCACCTATCCCTCTGCCTCACATGTCCAAAACATCACACCCTTGGCTCTCTAACTTTATTTCAAAATCACTTCACCCGAGCTGTCCCTCTGATATACTGATTTCCTATCCTATCCCTCCTGGTCCCACTCCCAATGAAAATCTGAGGATGTTCAACTCTGACTCCTGTCTTTTTGTAAGGGCCACCATCTCTAAACCATACATCTATATCTTCCCTTTCACTCTTGCCGCTATCCATCTGTGACAAATCACCCCTGACACTCGTCTTCACCCACTCCACCCTGCCTGCACTCTATTCTTCTTCTCTATTGTGCACTGTCTGTCACCTTCACTGTTAAATCGGTCTCCGTCTCATTCACACATGTCTATTCTGTCTGGCTTCTATTGACTTTCATTCCTCTTCTCTACCGAGGATACCTCCACTTCTCCAGGCTCTCCTCCACGTGCTGCCTGATCTCACTACAGATCACGTCATCATAGCCCAAAGAGACTTTTGTCTGCTCTATTTGTTTATACACATGGTGAAAATTGCTCACATACAGACTTACTAAATGTAAAAAAGTCCCCAAACGTGATAGTGTATTTGTCACATACACAGTTAATCAAACTGTTTTATTTATATCCACTTAATTATATTAGATTATTGCATATAATTAGCATAAAGACATATGAACAAAAAGGAAGATTTGTAGAATACAAAAGATTTATACCCAAACTCATTACAGGCTGAAAAGTAGCAATAGCCTATATAACTTATTTGCACCCTCTTGAGGTTACATTATTTTTGGAGGTTGTTTTCTGCAGAGTCAGAGTTTGTTTACTGGTCTGCCTGGGCGTGTGTGTCACCGCAGAACATTGCCCAGACAGCTTGGACAGCTTGCCTCTGTTCTGGGTGTTTAGGGAGTCAGAGGTGGGGGGGGGGGGGATGGGGGACTGTGATTGTCAGGGATTGCACAACTGTGAGTGGAGGAATGCGCTGCCCTTGGGACTGAGACATATTTTAGCTGCAGATACAACGAGGACTGAAAGTGGGATGGAAAAAATAATAATAAAATGAAAGAGGAAACCAACCAGTGATTAAACAAAAAGTGCAGTGTTTTTCTTCTGTATAATGCTTGCAGCTGTGTTTTGATTCTGTCGCGTATTTTAGAGTAAAATAAAAATAAAATTTGCCATGGTGGTTATATAAGAATTATACGCATAAGCAGCACTGCATAGCAATGTTTTGTGATAGTCGCAAGACCTTGGCCTGTTTTAAAAACAAGTGGAGGTAGGCGAAAGGGATGTAAAACAGAGGCACATTATTCAACACACACTTTGACCCCAGCTAATCTTGGTCCGTGTGATTGGGGTCATGCAAATATTGCTGAGAACCTAGTGAGTAATGCAATTGGACAGAAGCGTGTGGACTTACTCAAACACAGGACAGTGCACCTTGAACCCTGTTTGACTGTGTATTTAATGATGGGTCACAATTCAAGCTTGTCAGGACACACATAGTGCACATTATGTACTTCAATTTAATAACTTATGTAAGAACAACATAATTTCTTTCCTATTTTTTTATTACAAATGATTTTCTGCTATGTTTTGATTCTGCTATCCAACACTCCAGGAGGTTGAATACAGTAATAACCTTTAAACACGATGCCTCTATTGTTTACAAAGGTTTAGTCTTAAATATCCCCTAAAGTGCCAAATTCCAGTTCAAAACAATAAATTGAGTTCTACGGCCACACAAACTATTTGTTTTCATATCACACAGAGTTTAGATTACCAGATCGGAATTGCATGTTCTTGAGAGTTCAAGGAAGGACTAACAGGGGGAGAGAGGAAGCAAGTGAATGAGAGAGAGAGAGAGAAAGAATTTCAAGAGAGAGTCTCACTGCTAGACACTAAACATCTGTTTGAGCTCTTAGTACAGGCTGTTGTCTTGTACAACACTGCAGATATTTCTCCAATGTATCTCAACTCTCTGCCTTAATTTTTAAAATGGCTTTAATCAAAGTAGAAAACACTTCACAATAACTCTTGACATGCACATAACTCAGCGAACAACACTTATAATTAGGACTAACCTTTAAGATGATTATTTTTTCTCAGGAAAGGCATTAAACATTTCCTCTCTCTGCTGTTCAATAACAGTTTAGGTGGGAGTCCTTGGGTGAATGCACAACAAATCTTTCACAAATGATTCAGCCATTAACTATTTAAATCTATTAAGCAACAGTTCTGTGCAAAAGCCCTCAGCCAATGATCAATGCTAAGTGAACCACCTAGTATTGACCTATGAATGATTCAACCATAAAAAAGGAACCTAACTGAAAAGATGAACCACACCTGGTTTTCTACACATAACAGATATCAGAAAAATTAGAGACTAATTAAATTTGTTTCTTTAGACACTTTTGTTACTAGCAGTCTGTCACAATCAAATCATTTTGTAATTAGTTCCTCTCTTCTTAAGGTGGCTGTCAAGAAGCCATTCCTAAGGAAAGGGAACAAGAAGAAAAGATCAGTGGCAACAGGAGTGACGAATCCACATTTGAAGTTTTTCTCAGTTGAAATCATCATCATCAGTGTGTGTAGAGGAGATCAGGGCAGGGGTAAGACAGGGAGTGTCTGGAGTATCAGCAAAACATGGTAGAGTGTTTGTCATGGTTTGGGTCTGCGGTTCAGCAGCAGTGGTGTGAGGGATCTGATGGGAACTGATGAAATCCTGAATACAAAAATATAGAGTCAAACCTCAAACACACTTCCAGCGCAGTCAAAGGATACCTAAATTTAAAAAACACATATGGGAACTCTACTGACGTCACTCATTAGAATAGTACAAACTTTGTTTTTGCCTTATATACTGTACTTATATATACTTATATACTGTATTTCCACATATCCTTACAGATGTTTCAATAAATCGCTGAACCTATTTCCATTTTCCTGGCAAAATATAAAGAAACGAATGGGTTATTCAAGACCTTTGCACAGTGTTGTATAACTAATGCTTGAATCTGTCCAGGGGAAATGGTGGTCAGTTTTGCAAGGAAGTGGTATGGGAGCCGTGGGGCCATGTACGCAGATGGGCCAAAATAAAATAAATTAATCACAGTCATGATAATATAAACACATTTCCTTTTTATGCGTAGAAAAAATAAATAACCGTTTCATGTTTAACAGTAATCCAAAATGAGACATTAAAGACATTAACCCCACTTTGATACAACTCACAAATAAGTCCATGTTGGACAACGGAGCTAGTTTGCTGTTCTTCAATTTAAAATTAAAGAAAGGGCTATAAAGAAATGAAACTAGAAAGTAACAGAAATAGTTAAAGTAACTAGAAGTAGCTGGTTGCTAGCTAAAGCATAGTCACCCTTTGTGTGCGTGTGTTTTTTGTTGTTTCGAATATTTTCGAATATCTCTTTAATGTATTCAGCATGTTATACGTCAACTTTTTTTTTTTTAGTTTAAATATACACACGTATGGAAGAGTATTATGATGGTTCATTTCAAATAAATTCACTGTTGGTCTCGGCTTACTAGTCACCATTAGCTACGCCTTAATAGTGTGGCGGTGAGCAGCGTATCATAAACAGTCTGCGTTTGTTGTAATTGTGTATATTTACCGCTGGGCGAGAGTGTCTCTCTGTGAAGAGCATGCCGCCATTACTGGGAAGCTGGGGAAAAAAATAGACTTAAACACAACGTCACACATTTATCCTGCAAGGGGCTTAACATCAGAAAGGGAAAAAAAAACACACACACACACACAAGGCTTTCGTACGAACTGTTGTACTCTTCCAACAGCGGCGCTTTTTCCGTAAATGAAGGCTGATCCTTGCGGTCGCGTTTCCCGTGGACTCTTTTTTTTTTTATAAATTTTTGACACAACAAAGGAAATAATAATTGGTCAAAACAACGTGGTGGTGAACCAAGAAGGGAAAACACACCGAAACAGCGCTTTCCAACGCCGGCCCCCCTTTTCTCCTCCTCGCAAGACGTTTCCAGCCGTGGTGAAAAAAACTGAAGTTGAGCAGGATTTTTTTTTCCTGCCCTTTTCCTTACTAGAATTTACTTGTATTTTTTTTCAGACTGGGAGAAAAGACAAACCATCTATGTATCTCGTGTCTGAAAACTTCAGACTGATGTAAGTGAACACCCTATGTGGGAAGCAATGGACAGACAGCCTGTTTACTGAAAAGGCGGAAAATAATCGATGTGAGAGCTTGTAGGGAGTGTTTTTGTCTGGTTTTTAAAGTATTTCCCCGGCTGCGGGTCGCAGAGGAGCACGGAGAGGAAGAAAGGAGCGGACAAGAGCAGGACAGAAACGGGAATGATATGGTAGGTAGACTGTAGCTTTTCGGCCACGATTGTGTGTGTGAGTCAGTGTGAATAAGCAGTTTTTAGACCTAACTAGTATTGGCAAAAGGCATTTTAAGGCGTTCACCTGATTTTACTT